AGAGAGAAGGAATGACACATCCATGGACTGATTCCGACCTGGTTTCCTTGTTTCACCTCTCTGAAGTTCAGCTTGTTGTCCAGGTCCTCGTCAACCTCCTTGATCATGTTCTTCAAGCCGACGTGCGTCTGTGGAGCACCAAGCTTCTCCATCATCAGTTTCAACTCCATTAGGTCAATGTAGTTGTCTTTCCCAGCATCATACCTTAACAGAATCAAGAAAAAAAACAAACTGCTTCTTCACAGTGCACTTACACAGTAGGTATCAACAAGTGAAATCTTGTTATGTCATAGATGAACCCAACTTTAAATGCCAGGACTTCAGGGATAATAATCACAATCTAAAAATGACTGTGTTCTGTGAATTATGTGTGCCAAAGTTACAAAAGACAAGTGACAGAGCAAAACTCAGATCATCCAGACCTACAAAATAGAGTGTCATCTCCAGGAGGGGCCATGGAGACAAACATCAGATGTGACGATCAGCACCAGGAATAGACTTTACATTTAAGTTAAGTGATGCTGGGATTTAAACGGACTGTTTATGACACAAGCAGGGCACAGGATGGCCAAACTTTGGAACATGCTGACTAGTCATGAGCCTCGTGCACAGCTGCTGTGTTCACTGTTGTTCGTTGATGTGTAAACCAACATGAAGCAGGAAGAGCTCAGTGAACAGTCAGTGCATTTGGATCTTTTTAACACTTCTTAGTGGAGAACATGTATTTTCTTATAGATTTAGGAGGCATGACAAATATGCTGTGGGGTCAAATCCCGCTTTTACAATGGCACCGGTGGATGTTAGCAAGCTCATATGAACACGCAGCTTCCTGGAGATTATGACCATTCAAGGAATTCCTTTTGTTAGAAAAAAAAGTCTCATGAGAGTTTGCGAGATCTGTAAACCGAGTTGCTGCTGCATAGAAGTACTAGAACATACATACACGTCATCTTTTTGAGCTTTAGGTCACATCTAAGATGATAATTCACCATTGTAACATTGTTAAGTCAGAAAACAAGGAAAAGCATGCCATGGGTTCTTTAAACAGCACTATGCCTCTGACTAGAAAAATCCCTACTTATAGGGTTTGGGTCTTATAGCCAGTTGGATATGGTTCCTTGTTAGCAAAACACCTGGATTCAAATTGCAAAGTTAATTAATCTCCCTCTCTTTTCCTCTCCATGCCCCTTCTATCAGCAAAGAGCAATGTAGAAAATATTTGGGAAGCAGAGGCGCAGATTGCAGACTGCTTGTCCAGACAAGTTCATTGCTTCCTGAATACTTACTCCTTAGTCAACAGACTACAGCTGGCAAACATTATTGTCCAATTTCCATACACTATTATCCATCTGTCCTGCCAGGAATTAGATAAACTTCCACCTGAGTATGGATACTTTCAATAGTTTGCTCCAATCTATGTTGATGTTGACTTTTACATGTATCTTTTTCTGATTTGGCCTCACCAGTTGGCATTGTTCCACATCTATTTTGAGACATTTATGGGGATATTTACTAAATATGTTTGAAATTACCATGAGGTGCGCAAAATATTGCAGCACAATTTATCAATTTAGCAGTGTATTTACCAATACCAGTGAAGTAAATGAGCACAATTGCAGAAGTGTTCATTTGAGGCCCTTCAGACATGCACCCCTAGCAAGTAATTTTACCGCTATTTCACATCTAGGCATCATGTCTGAACAAAGCCCAGTGCAGAGTGTTACTGGCAATTTATAGCATAGTTGTATTTAAAGCCTTCTCTATTTTTCCTCTTCTGCATGCCCTCATGTTAGTGTTTTAAATAAAGAGTCCTACTTGCTATTGCGTGTTGTCCATTCTTGTAAAATTACAGCTGCAGTTCCATCTACTATCATAGTACATAGTTTGCACTTATGCTCAAACCTTTATTCAGGCACCTTAAGCCATTTTTTCCTTTGCATCGTACCTATCTAGGAAGTCTATAATCTGCTTTCTAGACCAAAAGCTATTAAATATCTGACATAGTTATAGTCAAAAGTGTAAAGTAACTTAGTACACAGACTCCTGTGACTCATGTGCTGTGCTTAAGAACAATTTTGAGCTATCTGTACTTGAGTATTTATTTTCTGCTGCTTCAATACTCACAATACCAAAATATTCTGCTACTTTCCTTACTTCTGAAATAGTTGGAAGTAATCGTGCTCAAAACTTTACATTTCACATTAAGGCACAGTACATTATTATTGAGGCATTATAGTTTAGCCTATATCACATACAAAATTGGAGCTAAGTTTCCAATTCTTTTTATTCATGCATTTATATGGTGTGCTGCAACATATGTTTATGAAAGCACAAAAAATTCAAGCTATTCTTTTGTCACATTCAAAAAATTGACATCATGGCTTCAATTGGCAAAATGTTATTTTGCCTTGTTTGTTAAGTATGTTTTAAATAAAACTTTTTTTTTTTTTTTTTATTACATCCACCAATGCCATTGTAAAAGCAAAATTTTTCAACTGCACCTGGTTTTGTGGATATAATTTACCTCCTGCTGCTGCACTGTGACCAGAGGATGTGGAGAAAAATACAGGGCCTAGGGTTACTACATGTCCAGGGACCCGCTGTTTTACCTGAATGGGTCTAACCTACAAGCAGCCGGTCAGTGAAGCCCCCTGGGGCGGTGAATGATCAGGTCAACAAGACTGGATTCCCCCGGAGCACAGTACCGGTTTGTTTTGACTGCTTGAGGCCAGTGTGTCTGCCACATGTGATGTGTTGCAGGTTAACAAGCGGATTAACGACCCATGATGTTATTGTCAGTGCTACTCTACTTGTTGGAATTAGTTTCACTACTCTGGGACTGTATGTGGTCATGTGGGGAAGACACAATGACCACCAGTTGGATTTACTGACCTTGAAGCTACGTACTTGAAAGGGAGTCATGTTTCCACTGCTCGGTGGGACTTAACAGTAAGTTTAAAAAAAAAAAAAACATGTTGCATGTCTGTTAATGTGTTGTTTCTGTAACAAAAAAGATGGACACATTTTGACCCCCAATCTGATTTCTATTCAAGGTCAAAGGTCTGGAAGAATTGGTGATAAGCAAATGATTTTTATTAAACTTGCTTTTAACTTACAGGGAATGTACACTCATCAGCCACTTTATTACGTACATCTGTACAGGTGTCTGCAATTCAGTGCAACAGTAATATTCTGATTCTCTCATGTATGTAGCTGGGGAGGACAAAAATATAGTGACACCTCTAAATATAATGTAGTCCAGTACAACACCACCTTTAACTATGACCTCAGTAATGAATATATAATTGAATTTATATATTGATGACAATTTTCACGAAAAAATTTTGAGCTTCATAAACAGATGTTAAGGTGGAATTGTTGCAGTGAAGTGCATACAATTGTACAGGTTTACCTAATAAAGTGGCTGGTGAGTGTACATTCAAATTTAAGGCAGCCTGAGACCAAAATACATTCAAGCAGAGTGGGGAAAAATGCCACAGTTTGACTGAGGTCTGAGGCTTCAGTAGCTCTCTCTTGCTGTGTCATGGATCTCACAAACAACTTGTTTGTGGTTCATAGGTAGATATCAACTAACTGTGCTCATCTAATGCATCCATCTAAATATGGCTGCACAAAAGTTTAAAACAGCTGCACGGGTCTGGACATAGCAGGAACCTGAAGAATCTCACTCAACAGCCAATATGCATGGACATGCAAAAACAGAACCTCAAGAGTCAGTCTTCAGGTATAAAACAGCAACAGAATAAACAGAACACTGAGAACGATGTTAGAACACAGTAGATGCTTGTAATAATAACTACAGTTTCATCCTCATTTATTGTCAAGTATCATGTGCATCCTTTGTCAGGAATTCACAGGTTTGCTGACTGCATTTACTGTGTAAGTAAGAACTAAATAAATAAGAATAAGTGTTCAGCAAAGGTATAACAAACACTCACTTTACTTCCCACCACCTTTAACATGAGACCATATTAAATGCCAACTAAACCAAAAATTCCTGACATTCAGCTTCAGTTCACTTGTGGAACCAGACTCAGTGTGCTGCCACACTGCAAGCAGCCTCATCACCAAGTGAACAAATGTTATCTCCTATTAAACTAAGTGATGTGTGGACAGCTAATAATGCAATCCAAAAAAACTAGGACTCCAACAGTGACCACAGAGTTAAAGAGAAACTTGGCCAATTTCCAACCCCATCTTTGTCTAAGTTTGGGATAGAGTGTGAAACCACAACAATTTTTGTTAGATTTTTTTGTGTCTCTGGGGCTCCATTTCAAAACCTGTAGCTTTTCAAGGAACCAGAGCCATCACTGGCTCTCAGAAGAATTTCAAGCTGTTTAAGTTTCAGTTTCAGGGGGTGTGTTCTTGTAATGAGAACTAACAACGTTTCCAGTAAGGAAAATGGCACCTTTTAATATGAGTGCAGAGGATGTTATGGACGAGGATACTTTTTTCTGACTCAGATAGATGGCCAGTATATTTGTTCAAGCCAGAATATACAGCTGAAGAGATCTAGTGGAGACTGAGGCTGAGGAAGCAGCTAGCATTAGCCTTGTAGAGGATACAGCTGGCAGGGGCCACCCAGAAACTGAGCTGTTGACAGCAAACAGTGACTGGTGGTGCCTTTGCTCAGACTGCCCTCTGATGGCAGTAACTGCAGGGCTCCAGACTACGAGTGATCAGTCGCATTTTGCGACCAAATTTATTTAAGACGTGACTGACTTTTTTTCTAAAGGTCACACTGGGTGTGACTACAAAATAAAGAGGTTATGCATGATCAACTGCTCTCACTGTAGACATGGTGGACAGAGTTACATCTCTGCATCACTGTCATTGCAGTATTTATTTGCAAGTCTGACTTACAAAGTCTTGAAAACCTTTGTCAAACTCTGACCGACAACTGTCAATCTGCTCTGTGTTGTGCGCAATGTCAAGTTGCGCACACGCCTTCCATTGTGTCTCCAGTTCTGATCCGAGGTTTTGGAAGTTCCCCCAAAAATGGTGCTGCAGCTTTGAGGAGAGGTGTTGCATTTTTTCTTTGAAAACATTAACTAAGCTGATCATATTGACACGCAATCTACCAACACTATCTTTGTGATCGACATACCCCTGCTCTAACTATTATTATACCACAGACACTTCCCCCTGCAACTGACAATAAAGATGGCTTATGACAAGACCATTTTGACATGCATCAGCTGTTAAAATGTCAGGTCTTTCTGTATCACAAAGCTGGCTTGCTTTTAACCAGAGTATGACTCCCTGTGATAACCTATGTTGCTAACTTGCACTGAAGTAGGTTAACTTTAGTGGACAAACAAATGTGAGTTTATCAGACAACACAATGATGATTACAGCTCATTTTAACTGTGCAGACATTTTTTGATTCCCAGCAGGATTCCTGGCAGGGTTGATGCTTCTACATTGAGTCTTTGTGATAATAATTGAGGAAAATAATCCCATGATGACTGGTGTAACATTTCATTCAGATAGAGCCCATCAGGCATTAACTACTTTTCTCCTCCTTTCCTCTCTGCTTTAGCCACTGAAAGAATGACATTGTTTTGTTTTTATGCACATCACATATTTAGAATCACTTAATCATTATCAAACAAAAGAGCAAAAAATACTCACTCTATACTTGAGGCATATGCTATAGAACAAGGGTTTTCACTACCCATTACCTAAGAACACAAATGATCCAGGTAACCCAAACAGAGCCAGAGATACTGTATGTTGAACTTTTTTTGTGCTACAACTTTAACTGTAGTTTATGATCATTGAGTTCAGTACACAGGCAAATCTTGTGAAAGAAAAACAAATGTTTAAAATACATTATGTCATAAATCATTTTTGGTTACTATCTGATAATCAAAAGAGATCAATTCATACCAACTATTTATTAACTGCAGATTTGAGACTGAGAACAGAGAATACTTTTCACTTTTTTACTTTATTAAAGTCTATAATCAGACTTCCTTATAACAGAATTACATAATGTCCCCACCCTACAATTGCTCCAGGAAAAAATACATCGGTAGACCTACATTAAAGTTAACATACTACAAATGCCAATTTTGCTTCAAATACCAAGTATTTGCTTTATGAATTCATTTATTTTCTTTGTTTAGTTATTATTTACCTCAACGTGGATTATTATTATACCAGTTCCTGAGCTCAGAGTTCACCGTTTAAGCTTTTTTTGTTTCACCAATAAAACTCTTTCTTGCTCACTGATCCTTAAATTTAGATTTATGTTTTATGCTTTGTATCATTCTGTGGCGTGTCTTCTACTTCCTAGTAGTAAAAAGCTGATATAACTTATTTTATTTAGATGTGGCCTACATGAACAACCTGCCAAGTCAACTTCCTTATAAGAACAACTTTAACGTTACTCTCCTGACAAAGCTCATTGACTCATATAGGATTAAAAAGGGGAACCAGTGGCCTGGAGACATGTTTAAGATTTGTTCTCCAACCTGTCAGGGGTATCAAAAGTCAACCAGGCTGTCACACACTCACGTTTTGAACATCCTTTCCATGTCTTTGATCTGTTTTCGGGAGAACTCCTTAAACTCGGTGTAGGGGTTGAAGACGTTCATGCTGGGCTGCCGGTGCTCACCCTGCCCCTCGTTCAACTCTCCTCGCCGCATCAGCTTAGCGCCCAGCTCCGAGTCTGCGTTGGCAGTACTCGGTTTGTCCTCCGACCCATTCTGGTGTTCGAGAACGTCCACAGCAACCGGATCCTCGGCTCCTTCCTCGATCTGGAGCCGACGGCTAAGCTTGGACGAAAGCTCGTCTGTGGCCATTTTTTTTAAACTGCGAGCTAACTGTTACAGTAAACGAGAAGACGACTGGCTGTTAGTAAAGTTACGTGTTACGTATGACACACGTTCCGAAGCGTGACGCGAGTACTTACGGAAGTTTCAGCTCAAGCTTCTTATCAAGGCAGAGCTGTAACCGTATATGGAAGGCCAAATTGGCCAAAAAATCGGCGATTGGTCTGCCCAGGTTCTCTGAGTGGAAAACCTCTCTATCCGCCTGGCCTGATAAAGATGGAGTATTTCAAGCAGTGAGCTAGTTGTGTGGATGCTGTAAAGCACACTATGCTCCCCTGTTCTTTATTGTGTGGATGCACACTATGTTATCCAGTTCTTTATTATTGTGTGGATGCTGACCTACACTATGTTTTCCTCTTATTGTGTGGATGCTGATAAGCATCCACACTATGTTTTCCTCTTATTGTATGGATGCGTATTTTATTCTGGGTT